AAATTACTTTAAAAAAGATTTATTGTATAATGTACACAATTTTGAAAAAATTTGATGAATATTTACAGCTACGGTTTAATAACCGTAGACGATTTTGGCCCGATCGTCAACAAAACATCACCCGTCTCTAGGGAAAGCAGCTGGAAAATGACACCGGTGTTCGGTCGAACCAGGTGGAAGCAAAATCGTCACTCCCAGAATAACTACGCAAAATAACGATCTAAACTCGAACCATTCGAGCCACAATATAAACATAAAAAAATGACTTTCGTTGCATTTGACAATGATAAACTTACCGAAAAGCCATGTTTTTCTCGGTCGCTAACGTCGGTATAATCCGCCATTTTATTTGAGTGTATTTGCCACCTGACCCTGCCCGGTGACGCCATCATGTGCGCTATAGAAGGGGGTCTGGGATTCATGACTAAAATCGTCGATAGTGGGCCTCGTTGAAATCTCGTTACATAGGCATAGGGTCAGATGTATGTAGGGCGGAATTAAAATAAATCACAAAATCAAAGTAAAATAATAAACAAAAAAGGCATTAATAACAAAAGTAATAAAAAATAAAATTAAAATAAGTTTATAGCCAAAATAATTAAAGCCCGTACACTACATCAGATTTTAATCAGATTGCTTGAAATCACTGACTGGTGCACACTATTCAATCAATACATAACAAAATCGTTACTAAAATGCAATATCGTGGTTCTCCCATCAAATATAAACTTCCCAAACTTCGCTGTGTGTCGTTCACAGTAAACTCTTCAGTACCAAAGGAAATAACAAAATTTGCTGCGAAAAGATCTGTATTTGTACCACAGCATTTGTGATAAAGAGGTTATTACACGACAACACCGTGATATCGTGTCGTTACTTATGATACCAAGATCACTCGTAAATACGACACAATATCGAGGGGATATTCGTGATATGTCACCTTCGTTCTTCGCCAGGTGAAAGTTTTAACATAATAGTGTACGACGATTCTGGCACGAAGCAAGCATAATTTGTTGCGCCCTCATCGGTGATCAAACACAAATTTACGCCGATTATGCCATACCGCATTACCAGAATACTCCTGCTGCTTATTTAGTAATAGAAGATATTCACCACGGTCGCACATTTCGACAAATATACCTGTGACGGCCACCCACGACAACACTCGCGAAACGATATTTATATATCAAAGAATGTGCCATAATCCCTCAGTATATTATCTAGCAAAAATAAATATACTTTATACCAATTTTAATCTTCACTGCATGTTTTTTTCTAGTTGTACCACTGTTTGTCTCGTCACTATTTTATTTTCTGTAACTTTTCTCTTGAATCGTTTTTTTTATATTTATTTAGTAATTTATCTGCCCGATTTACTAGTTATTTACTGCTAACTGTCCATATTTACTGGTCAATTAGGCAGATATAGACATGATGAACGTTTGCCAGAGTGCGGCTTACTCCTTACTTGTTTTACTTTCGACTTCCACAGTACGCTGACTAAGGAGTGTAGTAATGTGACAGTCTTTTCTAGTGTTAGGAACAAATAAACTAACAGAGCGGTCAGTACTTGTACAGTATTAAACATTCATCTTTCGAAATATATATATATATATATATATATATATATATATATATATAAGTGCACTAATGTATTGTTTACACACAAACCTCGAAACATATAAATTCAAGTATCCGACATGGGTCTTCCCAGAATGACGTGCAGACGAATCGAAACAACTGGCGTCATGTTCTGAAGAAAACCTGCATGGGAACATTTTGGAGTGTGTAGATTATGTGTCATTCACAAGGCCAGCTTATTGTGGCGATGTAACTCGTCGTCATTTGATTGATATTACTCTTGTTAATCTTTTTCAATGAAAGATAAGGTATATGTCTCTCATAGAGTATTATTTGCTATATACGACACTAGTAATTCATAAGTTTGAGTGCGCCCTCTATGTATATTTTCGACACACATACATTTATAAGTTAATTACACTTGCTGTGTGCAACAAAAACACACTCTGCTTGATTTCTGGTTAAAATGCATGTTTTCCGTTTATAAATCACCCACTAAATTACTGTGTATTCAGAGTAAACAAGCCAGCCACGTATTGTTACTCCGTTGAATACTGACAAGCTGGGCGTATCATATACCATTGCATGGACCTGATGAATACTTCACACGTTT